TGGTGATTGCCATCAATTATGTCCCATTGAGCCCATCTATTGTCGCGAGCAAACGGGTAGATATATAGAAGGTGTGGTAACATTCGCCTCTGTAAGATTCGATCCTTGTAAGCAGATTCGGAGGGAACCGTTAACGCTACCATACCAATTGCTGCTATAGACAAGTCTTTTCTTTCACTTCCTTCAGAGAGTAAGAAGCACCATTTGTGTAAGACAGCGTGCATCGAGTGACTAGCCGTGCCCTCTCGTGAATCAACAAGTGAGTATCGCGAAAGCATTCTCATCGCTCTCAAGAANTAAGCAGATTCGGAGGGAACCGTTAACGCTACCATACCAATTGCTGCTATAGACAAGTCTTTTCTTTCACTTCCTTCAGAGAGTAAGAAGCACCATTTGTGTAAGACAGCGTGCATCGAGTGACTAGCCGTGCCCTCTCGTGAATCAACAAGTGAGTATCGCGAAAGCATTCTCATCGCTCTCAAGAAACTGAGCTGATCTCTGGCCACCCGAAGCAGCCATTCGGATACCTCAATATCAAGCGTAGGAAGAATTTGTGAAGCAGAAGAAAGCATCTCATACCACAAGTCTGTATTATCTAAGAAGGCCCACAACCGTAATAAACCTGCTGCGTCCTGATTTTGGCTTACTACTTGATTGTATGACATTTTCCACGTTGTTAAAATGGTTCGATCCGAGTACTCCTGTAAGGGAAACTCATCTTGATCTTGCATTAATTTATCCCATGTGTGATTGTAGTGTTTTATATAATGCGAGAGTGTAATGTTCGTTTCTCGTAAGTACGCTCCAGCTTGTGTCAGTGCGAGAGGGAGCCCTTGGAGTCGATCAAGTATTAAGGGAGCCTCTGTCGAGCCTATAGTAATAGTAAGACTACATATAGATATAGAATACAATTAGGTTCTATTACTTACCTTGAAGTAATCGATCTGCGTTATTCTCTAAGATAGTCATCGCTTCTTCATCGTCAACAATGCTTAGCTTAAAGCCCCTTCCATATCTTTGAAGATTGGACAACCGACTTGTGATGATGATTGATCCATGGTCTGCATCAGGGAAAAAATCCTTTACGTCGTATGATTGTAGATCTTGGCCATTTGTATGGTCGCGGTCGATGTTATCGAAGATAAGAAGCCACTGTCGATTTGAGGGGAGCGACAGCCATTGATGTACGCCCCTTATCACAGCTTCAACGTCAATCTTTGGATTTGAAAGCTCTTGCGCTATATCCGCTGTCAATTCATCTCGTGGCAGCTTGCGTGCGATATCGACTAGTGACTGACACAAACTGTCCCTCGATGACCCATTGAGCCAGAACACGGCGTTATACCTCTGGTGATGCTTCCGGGCAAACTCAATCGCGAGCTGTGTCTTTCCTATTCCACCTAAGCCGTGAATTACGTAGACTTTGCGCCGAGGTCTTGAAGGAGCAGGAAGAACAGAGTCCTCGAGTAGCTTTATCTCACTTTCACGTCCAACAAAGTGACTTACTGACGGGACGCCTTTGAGAGAAAAAGGAACCTGGTGTTTTTTGTTGGCTACTAAGGTTGAGGATTAACAATTAAGACCCTATTCTTTACTATATATAGTGTTCAAGAAACAAGGGGGTATATTCACATTTAGCTCGTGCTATGACTAGTTGAGGAGCTACCTTAACCATATCCTGAATTACCTCGGACACAGTTAAGAAGTCTTCTTCTGTCGGCTTCCCAAATTTGTTCATATGAAAGTGGGTTCGGGAGAGGGAGTAATTTTTAGTTGACTCTGAGGGGTCAAGACAGCCTGAGCTCTCATCCACCACAAATCTCTAACAAATTGTTAGCAACTTGACAGTAAATATGAACTTGACATACTATTCGTCCTTGTCCGCCAACAACAGCTCCAACATTGCTTGCTTTCATCTCGAAGAAACAGGTGACTCGTGCCTTGTTTGCTTGTGACCGTGTCTTGCAGAAGCTATCAACAAGGTCTTGAAGGAACTCGTTCCCTGGTTCAAGTACCCGTAGCACTTCTGTCTGGATTTGATCCTCGTTGTATTCCCTCTGTGCCGCTTCAAGCATCTCACTCTGTTTCATGCCCTCCGATCCTCTGAATGGTGTGCCGAAGAACACGAGCCCAGTGGTAGACTCAAATATACCCGGCCACTCATCTTTATAGTATTGCGCTTTGAGGAGAGCCTACTAGTGTTCGTTAAAGGCAATAAGAGGGTCTACAGGACCAACCTTTAAGACTACTAGTCCGCCAAAGCAATGCGCTATCATTATCAATGGGCGAAGGGGAAACTCCTACAATATATTGTTTTAGCGATTAGATCAACCTAAGCTGAGCTACTTACCTTTCTTTCACGTCTTAAGGTGAGAAGGAGCCGATCTGCAACAGTCGTCGTCTTCTGGGAAATTGCATTCTCTCCAAACCACTCAGATTCGTACCCATATCGCAGTATCCGGGCATTTGGGGCGGCTTGTGGTAACATGCCCTCGTGGGTAAGCCAGTTCACGTAGCATGGCGCGTCTGGTGTGCCGACATTCTTACACCAGGTATCACCAGGGTGGGCACCAATGCCATGGATTGCGACAATACTGTAAACCTAGTTAGAGACAACTAAGGAGACAAGTTTAGGGAGGACGTGCTCAACGTCAACGGCCTGTGCTTGAGGTCCCACTATCGGTTGTGCGAGCGGGTCGCGGAGAACTGTCAAGCCGATCGCATCTTCCACGGGCCGGACCTTATTTACTGTTAGTGTAGAACGCTAATAGGGCATTACGGGCAAATACCATCTTGGATGTCGATGGTTGAGAGATTGAAGTCAAAGACTAAAAGCGTACATGAGCTGTTCTTATCAACGTCTTATTTTCATCACAGCCTCGTGCGGCTGAAATAGTAATACCCTAGCATGCAACCCTCAGCTTGATGCTGGATTATATAACAAAATTAATGCACCATTTTTATGAAGGAGTGGAATGTTTTATGCAAGCCAAGAAAGCAAAATGGGTAGATTATATAACCTTACATGGAGATTTCTACTTCTTACTCCTTAGCACTGAATTGATTTTTGATCCCGTTTCTTTTGTCTACGAACTCTTATAGCATATACCCACTCATTTAGAAAAAGCCACAACCAAAGAATAATAAAGCAGAGTGATAGAAGTGCCGCCCCAATTAGTACAACGGCACTAAAAGAACGAAAGGCAGGCCATAACGAGAGCCAATGTGTCGTGGCAACCTGATCAACCGCTAGCCCAACCTGCATAGAATTTAATATAGTCGAGACTATAGCAAAGATGAAGAGAATGGGCCCATAGAGCCTCGCGAAATAATCTCCATATTGGCCATGGATTTGTTCAAAGTGGAATTTGCGGAGGAAGAATGGCGCGTAGAAGTTCAGGCGGGAAAGCCTCAGCTCTCCATAGCGATATCGGCCCGACACGTTGGCGTCCTTGATCTGGTCCAAGGCAGAAATAAAGCGACAGAAGGCCACCCAACCCACACCATGGGGAACAAGGCAGAGGTGGTCCTGCTTCGCGATGCGGAAGTCAGACTCGTGTTGAATCAGGTAGCGATAGGTTCGCAGATATCCTAACGCTGCTTTTCGGATGGCGTCTCGACGACCACCGAGACAAGTGGATTGATTCAAAAGAAACATTTCCCAGAATCTATACGAGAGCAGGTATTTAGGCAGAGGCTTGATGTATATTCGATCGTGGAACCAAACTAAATGGAGA